CTCTCGCTCTCCCTCTCTCTCCCTCACTCTCCATCTCTCTCCCTCTTTCTCTCTCTCCTTCCCTCTCTCCCACACCTCCCCACTCCCCTCCCCTCCCTCCCCCCTCCCCTCTCCCTCTCTCCCCTCTCCCCCTCCCCTCTCTCTGTCCCTCTATCTCCCTCCCCTCTCTCCCCTCTCTCTCCCTACCTCTCTATCCTTCCCTCTCTCCCTCACTCTCCCTTTCTCCCTCCCTCATTTTCTCTCTGGCTATTAAATGACAGAAAGTTTTCACGCTTCTCCAATTCTCTCCTCTACATTCGTTTTGGGTTTCATGTGATCTAGCCTATTTCACTAGGTCCTTCGTGTCTGCTCCAAGTGCTCTAGTGTTAGCTGGTAGTACGGTCATTTTCCTGTTCTACAACTTTTTCATAGCTGTGGTGATGTTTCATGTGAATGTTATTCATGGAGCCAAACTCGTTCAGAAATATCTGAAATGTCAACTGTATGCAGCCACTTTCTCTGGAGAATGGTTAAAAATAGTTTCGAGTGGATGACCTATGTAGTCGTTTCTTAGCGAGAACCACATTTTTTTTTCGAAACACGTGGACTGGCGAAGTGTGCAGAATATCAGAAACCACATCACTTAAGGACTATCAACAGCAGCAACAACTAAAATGAATAGCACTCGTAACAAAAAAAGGAGATAACCAAGATGTTGACATTAGTACTTCAAACTAAAAAGAAAAGAAGTCTCCCATCAATAGTGGTAACTGACTGGACTTGGTATCCATGTCCTTTTAAAACTGTTTGAAGAGAATATTTTAAGAATTTCAATCGATACCAGCAATGGCTCTTCGGTCGATGAATGCAGAATGTTTCATTATAAAAAAATCGATATTACCATCACCCATACCTTTTCCCCCCTTTCTGTTTTATTCTGAAATCGGCTAAAACAAGGAATTCTTCTACTTGGTATGTTTTTAATTATTTCTTTGATTCGGTTTCCCTGTTCACAATAATTACATCTGGTTTCCTGAACTAAAGGGGATGGTACGTTCGAATTTTCAAGTCCGAGAGGAATTTGTTTTCCGGTTTTAACAGATTTTCTGATTGGTTTGGTCAAGTCAGAGGCGCTTCCATAGTTCATTAATCTACCTTGTGTATTTCACAAGAGCCATCAGCAAATTTATTATATATATATATATATATATATATATATATATATATATGAAAAAAAATATATACGGAAAAACAAACAAAAATCCTTATATACAATTATGCTGTTTTAAACGGAGCGCTGATCTTATAAAACTTTCAGTTATCTGTTTGGATGGGTCTTGTTCTTGTGTACATCGTCTTTGTCATGTTGTATTGATAATGTTATAATTTATGAATATGTCCTGAAGATGGTTTATTAGACCGAAACGTCCGACGTTGATATATTAACATAAAACAGCATAATTGTATATAAGGATTTTTCTTTGTTTTTTCCGTATATATTTTTCTTCATACTGTCGGATCTATATCCATATATTTGCTTATATATATATATATATATATATATATATATATATATATATATATATATATGTGTGTGTGTGTGTGTGTGTGTGTGTGTAATAATGACAATATTATTAATCAGTAGGGATATATTCAAAAAGATATAGTTCCAGGGAGAGCTCTATGTAAATAAAACAGAGCAATTATAATTATCATTATCATTATAAAGAAAACGAACTCTTAAAAGACAATGAGGTGATATTTATTTCGTTAAGTTCGGAAAATTCGACCTCAGTTCTTCAGACCTAGTTACACAAGTATTTGTGCAACGAGGTGTGAAGACTCGGGATCGAATTTTCCGAACTTAAATAAGTCAACCCAAACTCCTGGTCAAAAGAGTTTGCATTCTTTATAATAATAATCACACACACACATACATATATATATATATATTGTTGAGGGGTCCACCCCTTTTTATACAAATGGACTCGCCCAGTGTATACTTATACTACTGCCAGTGAATACCCGAAGAGAGAGCTAGACCGTGGAGTCGAGTCCAGAGTGACAGAGTAAAAGGTTGCAGGTAACCGGAAGAGTGAGGTTGAGTTAACAGCGTTGTAGGAGTCACAGAACAGAACGCAATAGATTTTTTACCTTTTTCTTGTATATATGCCAGTATATGGCTTTTAATAATTTGTAAAAAGTATCTAACTCTACCTAAAAATATTAAGTAATCATCAGTAAACGGGAGTGGATGTGTTTTCCTCTTAGTAATTTTATTTAGAGCCGTAAATTCTGCGCAGTACCCCTTACTACCAACCTTCTTCTCCACTAACAACACTGGGAAACCCTAAAGAATTCTAGTCTCTATTTAGCTTCATCTACTAGTTTTCTTTGTTTGAGAGGTATGCAATATGGAGGTTTTTTGATAGGCACCTGTCCGTCGGTGTCGATACAAATAAGGTATAAGTCACTCATAGTAATGATTTAAAATACATATTATGATGTATTTTGCAAAAGAAAAAAGTGTTGTAATGTTACAGAATTCGAAGGCCAGGGCGGCAATTGTCAGCGATTAGCCGGAGTGTCGCGTGAGGGGGGCCATTCTAACAGTGATGGATTGCCTTCAAGTCCAAAAGGGCGTGGATTCAGAGCGGGTCTAAAGAAATCCGAAGCGCCGATAAAACACACATACCCAATTTTGCGATCGGTTAATACGACACGCTGCGCCAACGTGCGACATTTATTCCTGTCATTCGTCCTCTTAGAACCCAAGCAGTCACACTTAATAAAACGAATACAGAAAAACATATGAACCTTTTTGTTGATACTGTTTTATCTATTATCGTGAAGATCCCGAGACGACACAGAATGCAACAATAAGGTGTGATCTGATTCAAAGAGGAGCTGGTAGGACGGGATGATTATTAGGGTAAGTAAGAGAAATAAGGAGGGAATCTTGTCTTGAAGGGATTAAGACTAATGTTTCAAGAGTAGCGTCTAATCGGGTTTGCAAAACATTCTCCTTGAATTTGAAACATAGGGACAATGAGGGTTATTCGGCTCTATTGAAGCGGCATGACGTGTCCTCGTCGTAAGAGTTCGAAATGGTGGAACAAATGAATGGATTTCATCTGAATATTTCCCATGGAAGGCTAGTGACTTTGCATCTGCGCTGTAAAGGTCGTAGAGAAAAAATTCTTTTTGGTATATACTAGGTAAAAATGCTTGAACTTCGTATCTTTTCTTGACGAATCTTATATCGATTCTTTTTTTCTGTGCTGGACAGGGGGGGTTCTTTGGTTAACAGTGGATTCCTATCGAGTACAGTACTATAGCCTCCAACATGCCAGTGTTGCTACAGTGTCTCCTGTAGCAAGAATGATTTTTTTCTTTTCAGATAGAGTTGAAAGGCAAAAGTAAAAAGGTTTTAAATTCAGAGGTTTCCTTCTACTAAACTAATTTCTATCCAAGGGTAGGGGTCCCAGTCTGCTTTGCTATTTAATCCATAATGGTTCTACAATGAAAACAATCTCAGCTTGAAAATGCAAAGTCTAGCAAGTACAGCAATTTAAATATCTACGGAGTTTTATAACAAGTAACGGAAAATATTACATCGAAAACCAAAGAAGCATTAAAGTAGAGAAAAGGCGTTGAATTTGAATGTAATATCAATCTTCTTATTTAGTGGTGAATGCAGGATATCACCCTGACTGTGTAAAAAGAGATTTTGAGGCAACAGAGATGAAGTTCTACAGCAGAATAATAAGAATACTATAGACAGAGCATGTGATTAATGTGAAAGTTTTGAAGAAAATTGGAAAAAAAATGATATTTATACTTAGAATCAGAAAGAGGCAGTGAACCTTTTCTGGTATATGTAAAGAGGAAGAAGGGCGTGGAGAATTTAACACTCACAAATGTTGTACCCTTAAAGAGGTTACAAACAAAAGTGGTACTCAATTGAAGGAACAGCAACACGCGCGTAGATTAAAGAAGAGAGGTTTATTAGAAAGGAAAATGCACTATTACAAGACAGGGAATCGGGTGGCAGGCTAGTAATTCCCAAAGCAAGGATATTTGCCAACCGCCCCACGCGATCAGATGTGGCACAAAGCAAAGTTTAACGTGGGGTATCCGTGCCCGTAGGCTCGGACAAAAATTCCCCATAGACCCCGTAAAAAAAGGTGTCGGGTAGCTGTCTACCACCCCAGACGAGACTCTGCCCCTAGTCACAGCCTAGTCTGGCACGAAACCAAAGAATTCGACTAGCACAGATAGAGACACATCTCCAACTAATTATGTTGCCAACCGCCCCACGCGGTCAGATAATGGCTCAAGGCCAAATTTAACGTGGGGTATCCGAGCCCGTAGTTCCGGGCAAAAATTCCCCATCGACCCCGTAAAAATGTGTTCGGGTAGCTGTCTACCACCCCAGACGATACTCTACTCTTCGGCATAGCCACGTCCGGGTTCCTCTCTGCTCGAAGGCAGAGTTCGACTAGCATAGCTGGAGACGAATCTCCAACTAAATGCTGAAGTATGCCCCCAGGTATATCATGTGTTCACTAGATATAACTACTGATATAATCAGTTCACGTAAGCGATAGACAGTGTGAGATATTCCATTACAACAACAAGATATACACAAGGTAAGAGAGGCAGATTGATTTTTTTAATCGTTGTCTACGGCTTATGCATGTTAAATACAGAAAATAATTTTCCATGGATTTTTTCTGGACATAATAATGGTTTATTGATACAAGTGAACCCATAGCTACGGGAAAGCTGTGAATTCATGCATTTCGTGCATGTGAATATAACGAATCGAACGGAAATTAGATTTCGGCTCTCTGATTAATAATTCTGAGCCATTATCCATTACACCGCCTGCACATCCAAGCTTAAGCCACCTGGTATTCACCTGCGGTCACCCAGGCTCGGTGATCGGACAAGAACCGGTATTTCAACGTCATCTAGCCGTGAATGCAATATAAGAGCCGCACATCCAAGCTTATAGAACCTGGTATTCACCTGCAGTCACCCATCTTGGTACTGACTAGGCTCGACGTTGCTTAACTTCGGTGACCGGACAAGAACCGGTGTTTCAACGCCATATGGCTGTAAACGCAATATAACAGCCACACATCCAAGCTTAAAGTAGCCAGTATTACCAAACGGTCACCCATCTAGGTACGGACTCGACTCGACGTTGCTTAACTTCGGTGATCGGACAAAAACTGATATTTCAACTTCATATGGCTGTAAACGTAATATAACGGCCTCACATCCAAGCTTGCAGCATCTGTATTATGGTCCAAGTTAGTACCAAGGAAGAACAACACGAAGACAAGAGTAGAAATAACGAAGGTATATTACACGAAATAATAATACAACACGTGGAAGGTGTTAGTATGACTGTCAGTCTGGTTGGGAGTGAACTACTATCGGTTCGACTCGATTCGACCCTCTCGCTTGAGAGGCGTAGTACACATAGTGCTAGGAAGAGTTCATTCTGTAGTTATAGGTAATGACCCATGACAGATAGATAGATAGATAGATAGATAGATAGATAGATAGATAGATATTAAAGTGACTTAGTGTTATGGTCCAGGTTAGGACCAAGGAAGAACAACACGAACACAAGTGTAGAAATAACGAAGGTATATTACACGAAATAATAATAATAATACAAGATTTGGAAGGTGTTAGTATGACTGTCAGTCTGGTTTGGAGTGAACTACTATCGGATCGACACGATTCGACACTCTCTCTTGAGAGGCGTAGTATACATAGTGTTAAGAAGAGTTCATTCTGTAGTTATAGGTAAGGACCTATGACAATCTGGTATTACCAAGCGGTCACCCATCTAGGTACGGACTGGGCTCGACGTTGTTTAACTTCGGTGATCCTACAGGTAACGGTGTTTCAATGAGATGTCGCCGTAAGCAGACTGAAACAGAGAATAATTTACTTAACGAGTTTGTGTAAATTGATGTGTGGGAACGATACTAAAAATTGTACTGCAAAGATAGGAAGTTGTTGAGAGCCATAATTCCTGAAGGGAAACGACACCAAAAAGGAGAAGAAGTTATCGATCCCACATTCCGTTCTATTGTTCAAATTCAAGCCCACTCGGAGACATTTGTTTTATTTACTCTTTCATTGCAACCATTAATGTCTGATAAACTGTCAATTTCATTTTAGATTAATAATGTTCAAAACGATTCTTTGACTTTCGTGTCCATTTCGTCCTGACAGAATCATTTCCTTTAATTTTAGATACTGTCATGCTTGGGATTAATTATCTAAATGTTCTTAGTCGATAGTAAGTGTCTGGGAACTCATCATATATTGTTGAGCTAATCCTGGAATCTCTGCTTTCGTTCAAAGGTCACAACACAAAAGTTCGAAAGAATTCAAGATAATCTTCCTATTGGGAGTAAATGAAATTTTAATTTTAATTAAATCTTAAATTCCATTCTTGTTATTCTACCCCTCACTCAATTATTAGGTTGTTTGGAAAGTAATTACGTTTTACTAGATAATATATAATATACTATTGTGAGACCGGAAAGTACCCACAATAGACTCTTCCAGGCCTATATTAAGTAGGCGACATAACACTCTAGAGAGTCGCACCGAGCGAAAGTTTTTGACTTTATTC